TAAATTGTTTAAAATCCTTAACTTACCGCCAACGTTACCAAGGGCCGCCGGGGACCGCCAACGGTAGGAAAAAAAAAAAGTGCGGGCCCCACGGAAGGTATGGGACATAAGAAACGAGCCAAACCTCCAAACGCCCCCGCGAAGCCCCGTCAGCTGAGCCAAATTGAGCCCGATCCCAAGACAGGGGCCTAAGCTGCTTGGAGGGAGGGTTCACGAGGCTTGCGTACCTGTGCGTGTGGCTCAACATCTTCGCTCTCGACGTGCCGCCGGGAGGCAAAGGCTCGGCGGCTGGTGGCACAGCAGAGTCCATGGACCCGCCTCTGCTGCAGGGGTCATAGATCTATGGGGATTTATTCAGGGCTTCGTCTTTTGCGTTGTTTGTGTCGAGAGGTCCTACTGTGCCAACTTCGCAACCGGGGTTTGGGTGAGGTGGGGGTTCGGGTCTTAGGGCGGCATCATCCAGCTTGCACTTCTTGGCTTTGACATGGTGAAGCTAATGGCGCGAGTGACAGCGAAGACTTTCTTCGTACTAATGTTAATATTGCTGTAGCTGAAAGAAGTACTGGCAAAAGCAGCAAGAGCATGACTACCTCGCCTAACTCCAAGTTCAACAGAAACATAAACAGCATATGCTACTGAACCCCGAAGCTTCGAACGCCCCCAAAGCCCCCCACAAGTCTCCATGACAGAACTGCGTCGTACTGACTGCTTCAGCTTCTTCAGGGCTTTTAAGGGTTGAAGTGTTAGGTTGAAGAGCTCTTTAGCTTCAAGGGATCTCCATGTGCCAGGGACTTTACTCACTTGATTTGTTGTCTTGTTGATGGCAGCCCCCAGACCCCTTCTTTCGAACTAGAACATGAGTCCTGGTGCCAAAGACATGAACGCTGAAGCCTTCCCCTTCCTTCGCAGCTGGACTTAGACTGCATGGACTTGAACATGGAAAGCCAGGCATCCACATCCAAGGAAGCTGTGAAATTAAGAAGTGCGGTTCAGCCGACTCCCACTACGTACCACCACTACGTACCACCACCGCCACAACCATTGCCAATGCAGTACCACTTCCACGACGACGACGACGACGACGACAGCTGCTACAACTACTACTACGACTGCCTTCCGTGCCATGGCAATAATCAACGATCAGTCTCCTGGTGAATGTGAATGTGTATGGTGTTGGGGCACAAGCTGGCTCTCTGAATCGCAGCCATCTTCGGCGCCGATGCAGAAACGAGTCCTCGCTTGTTCACAGACATGTTTGTGGGTCGTCGAACTAAACTATGAACCCCCCGGTTTAGAAGACGCAATGTCGCCAAAATCAGCCTGCCTGCAATTGGAGCAAGTATGAGCCAACGTGCCAGGTGCTTTGGGAGTCCCACTATTCAGCCACCATCTGCGGCAGTCTCTTGAGTTGAGGGTCACTTTTGAGGGCTTACGATTACAGTTTGTTCTGCGAACGTTCAGGCTGTTGAAATCTGGATCTCGTACAGTCTGTCCCGGTTGGCAACTTCAAAAAACACAACAACTGTGCCGACGGGAAGCAGTATCGTCGAAATGCTGACGGCCATCAGACGAACTCCTAAGGCCCCTACACTCCAAGAGCCGAGGCCCCGGCAGCACCGCGTCATTTCAGAAGTAGCATGCGGCCGACTCTGGTGTGAAGGGTTTAGGGCTCAGGGTTCAGGGTTTAGGGTTGATGCGTTTCGGATGCGTGGCTAGCTGGCTTTTGGTGGATGCTGAACTGCGGAGCCAGCATCACGCCTTGGTTCTTCGTCTCGCACAACCCAAATTGAAGATGGTAACATTTTGAAGCTGTTTTCGGTAGACTTGAATCTCAATTTGTTTTACATAGGGGGCCACGATGGACGGTATGCGAAGCTTGCTGCAGGTTATGCTTTCGAACTAAATAAGAGCCTGGCAAAGGCGAATTCTGCAACCAATGGCTAGGCCCGAGCCGAAATGAGCGAGGTTCAGCAGCATGTTTGGACAGGAGGAGTAGCAGCAACGGCAAGGACATAATGACGGTGACGATCAGTGAACATCGGGCTCTTGAACCTACTTTGAGTAAGTGTGTGTGTGTGTGTGTGTGATTCATGAACTGTTTCCATAAGACAGCCGTGAAACCGGAAACTTGCAGAAGGTTGCGCTTCCCGATTTCTTGAGGAAACAGGGGAACTTCCCAATTCTCTCTGTCTCCTTCCGCGGTGTTCGAAACTGAAGCTGTTTCTTTTGCAATGCTGGTGGTCTCATCTCCGCCAAAGATGGCGGCTCGGACACCGCATGCAGACTTTTAGGCCAGAGTTTGCCGTCTGGATGTCCAGCAGCTCACATCTCCAAACTGAGGCACAATCGCCTGCAAGTGTGAAGATGCGAGAGGCGAGCGGCCAGTTTGCACGAAGTGTAACACCCCTTAGCATAATTATCCGGCTCTACAAGGACAACAATGCAGGGACTACAATGTAATTCCTTGCTCCCTAACTTCCACGGGCCACAATCTGCTGCACGCTCTTCTGGCAGCCTAATGAACACAATAAACACGATCGTCAAGGCATCTTGCTGTATGGGTACACATACTTTGGAGCGTCAACAGCTGTCGCAACAACCAGCGTATATTCATGCGCCGTATGTGGACCAAAGCGACTTCGGGCTCTTGAACTACAAGCTATGTTACGAAACGTTCCTGTATACTGCCGATTCTGAACAGATTGCTACTACAAGCGTTGCTTGTTGACGGTTGTGTGTTTTTGGTGTATATGTCTTCATGCACGCATGTGCCTGTCTGTCTGCCGTTCGTCTGTCGGTCTGTACTTGTTGAGGTATATGACTATGTGCATACGAAAGGCTTACGTTTATATGTAGCTGAATCCCATGTACGCACATACTGCGAAGCGTTCTACCTGTAAGTATTCATCCTTGTCTGTGCACTTCCGCTGCACATTCTGAATGATACTGCAAACGTATTCTCACACAACCGTGCGTTTAAACCGAACCACTATAACAACCCTTACGAACTGTGAAGGCCCCGCACCGGAGTCTTTTCATGAAGCCCCAGGGTTAACCAACAGCTTTGGCAGCTTTGCATCTTGAGGCGCAGTCTCTCAAAACACTGAGCCCAAGGAAACCTACCTAGTAAAGCCATTAAACATTGACAAGGCTGGTAACAACAGCAATGGCTACAACAGCAGCAGCGGATAAAGTATCAACAACTCTCGTATCCTTGACCGATGAGACGAATGCAAGTTTAGGCTCGTAAGGTGAAGGCCGAAGGCCCAATCGCTTGTAGATTGTTGCTGAAACCACTGACCGGGCAGTGATGATCGCAAAAAATGCCGTCGTAAATATCAAACCGCACCACAAACTTCACAGGTAATGATGCCACAAGCAGACCCCGAAACCCAAGTCCGGAGCCCAGAACCCCAGGCTCCTCATAAGCAGGTCGAGAGCAAGGGCTAGCTCCTCCACCTGCCAGGATCTTCGAGCAGTGAAGAAAAAGAAGCCTCCCAACTCAATCCGATGCGAATGAAGGGACAAGCGAACTGGAGCCAATGCTCCCAAAGGGGCTACAAGGGCGTAGTCGAATGCAAGGCCTGAAGCTATTAAAACTCAAACAAGAAGTTTGCGTCAAATCTCTGCTGGCACTATTGTCAGGTTAGCAGGATTGATGGTTAAACTCTGAGCAGCTCGGCAGACAGGAAGAGTTTGGGTTCCCCACAAGGGCTTCGGGAAAAGTCTTCTGGATCACTCGGAAGGTCTGCCATGCCGCCTTAAACAGTCCGAGACTAGGTACAAAAAAACCAGTCTGTGCGACTCACGCATGTTGCGCACTGCTAATGATGGATTGCCCCTGACCGACCTCTGGCAAACAAATATTTCGAAGGTGATTAGACTTGATTACCTAGGACTTTTAGGGGCTCAGCAATGACGGAAGCATTGAGAGATTGGACGCAGGTTGGAAAAGTGATATGGTCCCAGCATAACATGCTTTTGGCTTAGGATCTCCAAGGCTCCAGACCCTCCTACTCTGCAAAACGGCCTTCCGCTTCTCGATGTTGGGGTCCTGCTTCTGGACATTCGGGTTTCGTGTCTGCTCTCGATCTACTGGCTGTGCTGGCTTTCTGAATTGTGGCTGCTTTTGCCTGTGTTCGTATTGGCAAACTGGTGCTTGTGACAACGTATTCTATGTTGCTAGGATGGCCATTGTCTACCGCAATTGCTGTGGTATTGCTGCAAGCAATTTTGCTCCGGATACTCTGCATCTTACAAGAAACGAGAATCGAAAACTTCAATGACGCAAAACACCGACAACGCAATCACCAACCCCAACACCCAGCAGCAGCAACAGCAGCCGCAGCAGCATCGACAGCGGCAATAGCAAGCAATGACATCAGCAGTCACTTTAGCAAGTAGAAGCAAGACGAACGACGGGATCCAGCACCCAAAGGCGATGCTTGATAATGATGCAGTTTACTGAACATTTCAAGAGTTGCCCTTCATCATTCCCTCCATCACAAGACTGCAAAACATCATCAACGTTCAACACTTCCAACGAGGGAGTGGGGTGGGCTGCGACCTCGACCACAAAACGTGCGGAAGAGCCTTGTTGATCCGGATGCCAACAAATGACACACAACTTGGAAGTTTCATCTCAATTCAAGAAGCTCAGTGCTACACAAGTCACTGCATCAGACAATGGTTCTGTTGAAGTTTTCCCGTATCCTACATACACCCGCAGACTCCAACAGCGGCCGTGCGTTCCTGGAGGGGGAGAGGGTCCGAATGCCTTCAACCCTCCCGGCCTGAGTGCTTGAGAGCCTTCATCCCAGAAGCTGTTGTTTTTCGGAAGTCTCTCCCCACTTTGATTGCCACGATCGAATGTTGTGCGGGGTCGCTATGACCGTAGAGCATGATGAACACACTGACATGCTCTCGGTCCTCAACGACTCTCAGTCGGAAAGCCCGGGCCAACATCTCCTTGGCTTCCTTCGGGCAAGGATGTTAGGATTTGGCTTTACAGTTGGAGGGATGAGGCTTTATGATGCGATTCCTAAGCATTACCAAGACGTATCCAAGCTGGCAATGATAGCACGCTTTTGGGATATATATACTGCAAACCTTTTCACATGTTTAAGTACGAGTTTGGATTGGTGTTCGCAATAAAGCTCTGGCGTTACTGTGACTGACAGCTGCCATGGCTCGCTACATTGTCACCAACAGTGTGTGTGTGTACTCGGCTTAGCTGCATTCTTCTTCTCCTTCTTCGTCAAAACCTTGAAGCCGTTCATCGAGTGATATGGTGTACCTACAACCAATTGGGAGCGCAGGAGGTTGCAGCCAGGTTCCCGAATATTGCTGGGTATCTGAACGAAAGAAGTGCAATGAGAGGAACGATCAACGGCTTAGCAGTCTCATCTTGAGCCTCGCGCTCAGAATTGTGGGTTCGCAGTACGTGCCTGACTCAGCAGGATGTGCATGGCCACAGTATCACATGCGCAGACAAACAGTCCCTAAGAACCCACCGCCAATCGCGCAATACCTGCCCCAATGCACACGGCACGCACGCATGACACACTTGTGATTGATATATACTGCATACGCTTGCCATCTTAATACTCATGCTCATTTCATGCTGTACCCTGAATCCTGCACCACTGCACAGCGCACCCCGAGCACAGCGGCAGGTCCTCCTTTGGCTTCTGCTTCAGCTCCTCCCTGGGCAGCTGAAGCACCTCTGTCAGCTTGCATCCTATGGAAGCTCTTAGCAACCCTAAACCCTAAACCCTAAACTCTAAACCCGAAACCCCTCTAAGGCTTCTTTTTAAGCTTCTTCGGCTCCGGCCCAGTCCGGGCCGGGTGCATGTAGGGGCCTCAAGAAGTAGAAATAGGGTTTTTGGGGGGTGTATCTTATACTGTATATTTTTTTGTAGGAACCCCGTTTGGGGGTATAGTATACTCTAGTTATAATCAGGGACCCCAAGAGTGATTTTTTCGAGTCCGGTCGCCTCCTCTTCCTCTACCCGAGAGCCCACATCCCAAGAGCGGGAGCCTCGTAGCACCGGTCCAGCGACATGCAGCGAGGATCAATGCTCCCTCCTTCCGCCTCGGAGCTCGGAATCTTTGGGAGGCTCGGGGGCTTGGAGTTCAGGGTGGAAGCGCAGTGCAGCAAGGACGGCCAGTGGTGTCTCGCACTAGGTAGCTAGGTAGGCTTTGGAAACCCTGAGAGCATCGCCATTGCTGGCATGGCGCCCCCGAGCTCCGCGATGGCAGAGGAGGTTATTATCCTCCAAGTCTTCAGCGTTTGCAAGGGGCCCAAGGCGGAGTTAGAAGCTGGCCAATTTCGCTTCAGCTTTTTCCAGGGCTTTGGGACTCGCCACGGGTTCCATGCGCAGGGCTTGGGATTTGTATGACCTCTGCACTTCGGTGGGCATGTCCAAAACTCGCCCGAATAACCGCGTTCAGGGAGCTGCAACCTCTGCTTCACCAGCTTAGTCGTAGCCGCAGCGTGGCTGAGTCATGCTAGACGTCATCGTCGAGGATCCCTTTCAGATTAGGTTCTTTAACCCGATTGAAGGGAAACCGAAATGCCTAGGGCCTGGGGGGCCTCATTCCACTACAGGGCTATGGGTCACAGTTGGCCTTCCGGAGAAATCCAGCGCCTGGTTGCCACACCCTGGCGGGTGCCGATCTCTTTTGCGAGGCTCTCCATGGCCTGCTGTGAAGCATTCCAAAAACCTTTGCACCGGTAGTTAAAGCAACGCCAGCCCCAATGATCAAAGTACAATTGCTACTGCTAAACATATTTTGCTAGTTTTTGCAGGCGAACTAACGAATACAAACCGCCAGTAAAGCAAGCCAACAAAAAGGAGCAGCAAGCCAAGACTTAATAACTAGGTCAGGTCCTCTTCCACTTATGCATCTGGAGCAGGGAAGAAAGTGCAGAGTCAAGTTTTCAGGGATTTCGGGTGTGAGGACTTCTGTCGATAAGCCCCGGAAGCCTGAGACCGTCCGAAGGCTCTGTACAGGCCTCAAAGTGCACTCATACCGCCCGAAGCGCTACCCCGCACTGGCAAATGTGAAGCGAAGAACCGACCTGGACCGCAGAACGCAAGCAGCTTGACACATTATGGGCCTTGAAGTTGCTTAACCTACATAAACTAAAGGCCTGAAGTTCTAGAACATATCCTAAAACCGATTCTCGCAAAGAAGACCCAGCCCCTCCCCCTTGGGTGAGTTTTGGGATGGGACCTGCCTCTATCTCCCCCGTGACGTCGGCCTGAAACGGGGCACCAGGATCCCGTCACGAGGAAGGTTTTGCTGTCTGAGCATTTCGGGCCAAGTTGAGGGTTTCGGAACATGAATGTTTCGTTACAGTACTGGCAGTATTGTGCCAAACCCACGCAATATACTAAGAACCGCACACACCAAAAGTCGCTGTAAAAAGAGCTAGTGAAACCAGCAGAGTGACCACACCCGTCAGAGCCCGCGGCGCCGCAATCCTCCCACATAAACCCTCGTCCATGAATGCCATGAACCCTGCAGCTGCACTCAAAGCCCAAGCGCTCTTAACTCGCGAAGCTTCGCTACCACAACACTATAGAGAGTTGTTTCTCATCCTTAGCCCTCCAACTGCCAACCGCAAGACACCCCTGGAAACAGCAAGCGGCACACTATACCCGAGCCCGAAACTTCCTAGTCACTTCGCCAGGGCGCAAAATGCCCTCGAGCTGCGTCCCAGAGGATCACTTGCGCGAAGGGTGGCGAGGCCTGGCTTCACGGAAAAAGTGCGGGACAGAATGGGTGTAGCTTAGGGATCTAGCGGAGAGAACTTGATGGCAGCCCGCGAACCCCGCAGAATGTGCGGCGACTATTGTTATAGTGTGGCGCCCAGTTCGAAGCTACAGGAAACCTCCAACACGAGTCAAATGCTTTGTGGGACAGACCCAAACCGGCAATCAAGTAGCCAACAGCGCGATGTGTTCGAAAAGACAAAGATTGCTAACCATGGAGGCAAGCCAAACAAGGGAGCAGGGAGCACAAACGTGGTGAACGACTCCAGTGCGCAGGAGTCGCAGTATCCCTGAACAGTCCTTCCGTTGGACTCTAAGCCCCTCGCCAAACACTGAAGCCGCAAAAAAGCGGGACGGGCCTGCGGCTCTTTGCGGAGGCCAAGCTGACATTCCCAGAGAGGCGAAACCTCCAACATCAGCAGGGCTTAAAGGCACTTGATGCGGGTTTCTACTGGTTTTTTGCGGGCGGAGTATGGCCTTTGGGGCCGAAGGTGGAGGCTCGCAAATGGAACCCTGGGGCTGGAGGAAAAGCATGCAACCACAGGCATCTTGAAAGAAGCCTACTGGGTGCTACTAGGTGTCTGGAGACATGTTCGCTGCCACACCTCCGGTTCCCATAAAGCTCTCATGGCCGAAGTTCCGCTTCACTGGACTACTTCGGCAAAGTCCGAGCTAGAGGAAACTGGCCTTGCCGAGGGAAAAGTACCGGAGAATCACAAGAGACTTCCGTTCCGAAGCCATATTGATGCTCTATCGGACAACTTAAGGGAACACCGGCATGTCAGGAAAAAATCACCGCGAAAGGAGCAGAGTGGCCAGTGATCGGGCCTCCTCTTTTATACAACCAAGCAGCGCCCTAAACCTCAAATCCTGAACCATGCACTCCTGACTAGCCCCATGTCTGCAATCAAAGGCCCGGACTATCCCGGACTCCTCAAACGAGCTGCCCCCAACAGCAGGTAGAAACTCATCCATGAGACCCACAAGAGACCACAAAACTTGGCGACAATCCTTGCCAAAACGACACAAGCGCCTGAACCGATCCTGGGAGACTGCGGCCGAGTAGTCGGAACCAGTTGGGCAGCTGCAGGAACACCTAAGGGTCATCACGGATTTGTCACGAGGTTACGTCCGAAGGGTTTGAAGGATTTAGGGTTAGGATTTAGGGTTTAGGGTTTAGGGTTTAGGATTTAGGGTTAGGATTTAGGGCTTTCGTCATGGCTTTGGGTTGGGGTGGGTGACCTGCGAGCGCTCTAAAGTCCACAGACTCGGTTGTGCACTAGGGATGTTCGCGCGGCCCCGAAAGGTCGTGCATCTGAGTCGCAGTGTAGTTCGGGCTTAAAGAGGCTTTTAAATCAGTTCTGTTGCACAGCATGCAAAAAGAAAGGCAGTGGACCAAGAACGGAATCAAGCCCCCAGCAGCAGCAGCAGCAGCAGCAGCAGCAGCAGCAGCAGCAGCAGCAGCAGCGGCAGCAACGGCAGCAACAGCAGCAACGGCAGCAACGGCAACGGCAACGGCAACGGCAACGGCAACAACAACAGCAACAACAACACCACGACGACGACCACGACTCTACTCCCACTCCTCCTCCTCCTGCTCCTGCTACTGCTGCTGTGGCAGCTGCTGCTGCTGCCACTGCTATGATTATGACAATGATGGTGAATGTTGAACTTGCCATGAGTTTGCTATCTTTGCTGCAAGTACTACCACCACAGCTACCGCTGCTACCGATGTTCTTGCTGCACACCGTACGGCTACTGCCAACACTCGCAATGGCCGACATCATGCTGCTAGGAGGATATGATGCCCCACGCATCATTCACACTCTCACCGGCCTCTCACCCTGATTCCTCGACCCAAAGCATGAACAATTCTGTTCGAGGCACCCCTGCGATGCGCCGGAACACGGCGCTGGCCCCCGGGGGTCCTCCGACGCCTGTGGCAGGGGGACGATGTTTCAAGCCCCGGCGGATGGCGTTTGGGGTTGAGGGCTTCAGGATTCAG